GGCCGTTAAGGTACGGTTTTCCTTGTGTAAATAGCAGTAGAGGGACCGACGAGCCCTGCCAAGGGCATAGCGGTGTACGAAATAATAATAATATTTCTAATGGAGTTTTCTGTTCTCGTTCGTGTTACGTCGAGGCAAATTCATCTTTTTTTTTTTTCTGGGACATAATTTTGGCATCAAACCCCCTCCCGTCAGGGTTTCTCAAAAATATTCAGTTCCTTATACAATCTATTAGTTCTGCTGTTGCCAAATTCTTACGTGCATACAACATAACATACATAAAAAACACCTAAACGCACAGCCTCCACCACCAACAACAACAACAACAACAAACTGAACAATGCCAACCCTACCACACCTCCTCCTCGGTGACCACCTCCTTCCATCACCGAATATAATCCGACAGCTCGAACCCAGACAATCATCATACAGAAGCAACACTACCTACCGCCGAAACTTTGCCATCATAGTCCCCTGCGTCCTCGTCCCCGCTCTGCTTTTATGCATCCTGTTAGGGTTCAGCCGAAATCGCAGGATAAAGAGGCAGAGAATGAGGTACGAAGCCGAGAAGGCGGAGAGGGAGGTGACGTTTGGGAGGTTGAGGAGGGAGGCCGAGGCGGCGGGGTATCATGGGTATGAGTATGGAAATGGAAACGGGTATGGGTATGGGTATCATGCGAATGCCAATGCCAATGCCAATAATGGGGTCGTCGGAAACAACAACAACAACAACTTGAATGGGGTTGAGGTTGGGAATGGCCGCGGGGCTGTGAATGAAGGGTATACGGGAAATCATACAACGGCAGCAGCAGCAGCAAAGATGGGAAACGCTGAAGGGGTGACGGAACCGCCGCCGGCATATTCGAGAAATAATGATGATGGCGGTGTTGTGCAACAGACATCGAGGGGTTGGTATACTTGAAAAAAAACAGGGGTTTTAAATCGGTAACGGTGTGATGGTGTTGGTATAGTTTTTACGGATCTACCTACACGCGGAGTACCTGTGGAGTGTATGTCAGCTTTGGGCCTTTTTTTTTTGTTGGTGAGGGAGGCGGTTCAGGGCAGACTTGCAGGCGGTTCTGCAAGGCGGATGGATGGATGGGTATAATTAAACTTGGAACTTGAAAAAACTCAACAAAAGTTCCGTCTTGAAATAAATAAACTTGATAACCCTTCTTTGATTGTATTTTTTTATATCTTTATTATACTCACTAGTAGGAGCTTGCAAACCAAATTTTTAATTTTTTTTTTAAATCTTCAAGATTAAAAAATATTATCGCAATTCTTTAAAGGAACTTGTCCAAGTCGCAACACCAACAAAAAAAACACCAAAACAAAGTTGAAACAAACATAAATAATCACGACCCAAGCCAGAGATCCACTCAAAACCCAAAAACAACCTACCACAACAACCACGACGCGCCAACAAACAAACAAACAAACAAACAGCATCATGCAATCGCTCCACGACATTGTTCCTCGTCACGACAGTGACTCAGAAAACAGACACCCGAGAAAAGCCCTCGTCATCGCTCTGGCAGTCGGCATACCAGTCGTGGTAATTTCGATCGCGTTGAGTATCATGTGGTACTGTCAGTGGAAACAGAACAAGCAAAGACAGGAGCGGGCGAAAAAGCTGAGGGGAGAAGAAGCGCGGTATAATACGGTTTAGATGGTACAAAAAGTCGAATGATGCATGCATAGGGGAAGTAGTGTAGTGCTTGCTTCAGAGAGTTGAAAGCAGATGCAGGAGATAAATGTGTGAATGGGATCGAGGAGAAAGGGAAGTGTACATAACTTGCATTCGGAGAGCCAGCGATTGTCCTGCATTTAGATGGAATTGATTATAAAATGGCCATGAGCCAAGTTCATTTTTTTGTTTTTTTGGAATTCCCAACAACTTGAAAAAATTGATGAAATGAATCTTTATAAAGTTCACAAGTCCCCCGAGATCAATTGAGACACAAAAGTGTAAGCAAAAAAGAATGCCGACAATCGGAATCGAACCGAGGACCTTGGCATGCTCTTGAAATACAAGTGCCACGCTATACCACTAAGCCATGCCGGCTGTTTAAGGCGATTGTTATCAAGCCCTCCGTTAGTGGTGCTGATTAGCGTAGTCAGACGAATAGTACATCGCTGTCTCAGTTCTCCACAGTGAGTGAGGCTGTTAATATTTTCGTTTTTTTATATACTCATTGCAAATCAACTCACTAACCAATCCTATTCATTTACATACAGTCAGTGGGCTAGATGATCAAAGATTCCATATACATAAAGTCCTATACAACATCTCCCATACGCATGCCGTTCCTAAAAGATTCCCAAGCTCTTTCCAATTCTGCGCAAAAAATTCAATCCTCTCGGAAGATTTCCTAGCAGCGCATTTCCTAGAGTGGGGGAAAAAAGAAAAGAAACCTGAAAGAAAAATTGATAGCTATATGGTGACAATGTTACAAACAAGGTTTGTGATTTCCACATCAGCACATCATGCAACCTCCACCTGAGCCAAAAACTTCCGAACCCTCTCAGCCACCCATTCCATCGCCGGCTTTTCGGACACAACATGTCCCGACCCAGGAATGAACCCTGAAAACTCACTGACGACACCCTGATTACACCCCGCAATCCACCGGTTCAGCAGGCTCTGCCTATCTACGTCAGGCGGCACCATCTCATCCTCCCCAGCTGGCAGGATAAGCAACGGCTTGTCAACCCTCCCAAACAATTCTTTAATCCGTTCATCCGTCAGATCCGACGAAAAGTAATCATCGTCGCCCCTTTAAAATGCCGATCAGCAAAAACTCGATTCCATCCATGAGCAAGGTAGGGCAAAAAGATCATAGGTTACTCACCCGACAGCAGCAAGTGACCACCACCGATACGCACTAATAGGCGCACTCCAAAACATAGCCGGCAGATATTCCCTCGGCATCATCACCTCTTCCCCTTTTCCATCATCCACGAACCCCTTTGCAATCTTCACGCTCTCTTCCAGCTCCTCTTTGCTCATGAACAAAAACGCTGCCGCCTCCCTGTCCGAAACGGGACTGGTCAAGATGAAGCCATCCACGGGCGGAACTTTGTACTTGGTGGCGTCGGTATACTCTAGACAATTTTGACATCCTAAACACACAAAATTAGCATATTAACCCATGAAATAATAACTGAAAAGCAGGGGAAAAGAAAATTGACAAACCAGTAGACGCCCCAATCATTACAACCCTCTCCTTCCCCAACTCCTCCCTCAAGTATTTCACCAAGACACCCAAATCCTCCACGTCGTTCTTCAAACTCGAGTACCCCCAACCCGAGTACGAACTCCTCATCCTCAGTTCAAACAGGGTCCAGCAGCATGATGATGATGATGACCCCAGCCTTTTCTCCGGCTGCGAGTGGTGGTGGCGGGATAACATCTCGGCGAGAAAACTGACATCGTCCGAGTCGCCGCCCGTGTGTGGACCTGTCGTTAGGCCGCCTATGTAAATTAATGCATTCTTGCATGTATCCTGAGACGCAGGAGATGAGGAGGAGGATGTGCCGCCGCTGCTGCCGCCGCCGCCATTGAGGGAGATGATGCGTTCGTATGCCGTTAGGGAAAAGTTGGTCGGTGATGATAAGGGGTGGACTTTGACCGTGTATGGTGCCATGGTTTTTTTTTTGATCTTCCAAGATCAGAAAAAATAAAAAGACGAAAAAAGTTGTGAAATGAGGAGAGTAAAAAAGAGACCAAGTGTGTTTGTATGAATGAATGAAAGTTTCAAGGTATGTTTGTAAAGGTAAAACTTTTCGCTGTGCGTCGTCTCTATTGATGAAGAAATCTCAGGCTGGACGTCAACCAAGTTTATATCTTGTTTACACGCTCAGGGGGCGGAGCAGCCATCAGCCAATCACAACACTCAGCCAATCCAATCCGGAAACGAATCCGAATACGAGCAAGGCTCCTTAGGAGGGCAACATGCTGGTTGCATCTCGGATTCTCGTTGCAGCAACCCCTCTTGCCAATGCTTTTCAATCTCCTCAAGTTCTCCGGCAGGAATCATATTGATCACTTGGTATCTTGGCTTCACCCAGGTGATTGGACACAGAACGAAAGTAAACAAGGCCCCTGTTCTACAACCACAGCCAGATAATGAGTGATAACCTGTTGGAAAGAGAACGAGAACAAATCAACTGACATTACTCATGCTTGCGAGTGGTGTCATACAAATAATTATACATGATCATACCCTACCCCAAACAAACTTGTGTTCCCCCTCCCCACCCCAACCCAAAAACCACTCGAGAACGGACACACAAGACTAAACACAATGACACACACAAGTCCAGACAAAAGCATGTAACCACACCGCTCAAACAACCTCAGCATACATATGCCTCCCAAAAGGCGTTACGCCAGCTTCAATCAGCACATCAAGCTCCACCCCCTTCAAAATCGCATCCCGACAACTCGTATCATCATCAGCCACCAAATTCCTCGGCTCCAACCCATAATCATGCGCCTCGCAAAGACCAGGCAGTCTCTGCAACTGGCTGATAGCAAACGTCCTCGAATGCGGATAAAACACCAGCGGCGCCTCTTCAGGATGCAAATGGTACTTCCTTCTCAGAACAACATTCGGCCACATCAGCATCTCACTCTTGGTCCTAATGTGACTCTTTCCCATCCTCTGAACCACAAAGAGCATCCAAATTGTCTCTTCGTTGCTGTCGTATCGGGGACAGTCTTCGGGCAGATGAGAAGCAAATTCGTTGCAGAACGGGCATCCATTCAGATCGCCTGACTCGCTTGTGTAGACGCACTGTCCGAGTTCGTGGCCTTGTCTTCCGCACGCGGTGCAAGTACTGCCGTGGAGAGTTGAGTAATCGAGGTAATATGTAAGAGTAACTGGGATCTCTCGATTTCCTCTCTCGTTCAAGGCGGCCGGGGCAGAGGTGGGAATCTTCTTTGGACGGAAAGTAAAGTCGCAGATACCACTCAGCGGAAGTTGGATCGTACCCTCGTCTGTTTGCAGAGTCTCATATGAGCGGCCACCGCCGGTGACGATGATGGATTTTCCAAAGTCGTTGAGGTCGTAGCACCCAGGAACAAGATTGATCGAAGAACTTAGGAAATCTCGGGGCAAGCCATTGTTGGTACGATGCAATGCTCCATCGAGCATATTATCATCTACTGCTGGCTCCAGCACGAGTTGGGGGCCGGGCTGCGAAGGGGGTGTCTCTCGGGGCTCGAGTCGTCTTGTAACCTTGGCAGGGACATGGACTGGAGTGTGCGTTCGACGTCGGTAGTGGTCTCTGCTCTTGCTGCGACTTGTAATACGATCGGATTGTTGCCTACCCCTTCGTTCGTTGTGCGCCGAGTCTCGGTATTTCCGGCGGCCTTCACGACTTTTGCCACGATTCCTATCTGGGCTTCGGTTCCGTCGCCCGCTACGGTGGCGATCACGGCGTTGGTGGCTCACACTTCGAAAGTCTTCAAAGTCCTCAAGTCTCTCATCACGTTCTGTGCGTCGCCCAGTTCGGCTCCTATCTCTGCGGCGTCGGTCACCGTCATCTGGCCGGTACTTGTCAACTGACATTCGGCCTGAAGGGTATCTGTCGGCTCGTCGTGCAGGGGACGAGGGCTGCTCGTCTCTGGATCCGCGATCCAGCATCGAATCCGTCCTGTTCTGGCGCCTCTCTTCTGAAAAAATCGAGTCGCTATAAAGACGATGGCCGCCTTCTCTCTTTTCTCCGCGCCCACGAGATACCGGAATTGTGCGGGCCTGGACAATGTCGGAAAATTCCTTGAAGCGGCGAGTCGTTTCGGTCTTTGACGTAGATGTGCGTCTCTCTGGAACTTTTCTAGTCCATATTATCTCGACGTCAGTGCTTTCAGCTTCAATTTTGCAATCGACGTCGACGTCATCACCGTAATTCGGTTTGACTGATTTCGGCATTGGTTTTGGTGAAGTGCGTGACAAAACGTTTTTCCGGGTCGATCAGCGGAATCAAGGAGGGGGTGGGGAATGTGTCCAGTGCAGACTGCAAGATTTCAGAGGGTCTTAATTCCAGGCTCAAAATACTTCGAGAGAGATGGGGAATCCAAAGGGCGGGGTCCAGGTCGCGGTCTTCACGACGAGAAGAAGTAGGAGCGACCGGTACCTTCCTGCGGTCAGTGGCCACCCGGAGCATAATAGCACAACTGGAAGTGACGCACTAGCACCCGACTAGGTTTCCATTACTTTCAGAGACCAAAAAGTCCACCGATCCTCTGAATCCAGTCTGAGGTGCTCATTTCACAGGATTATGAATGTGGGAGGTAAGGTCTATAGTTGAAGCAGTATTTATTGTTGGGCTCAAAAGGCGGACAGAGAAGAAAGGGCTGACTTCAGCCGGCGAACAATGTATTGCAAGATAAGTTTAGAAAGAAGTAATTCGCAGGAGCCTCAATTTGTCTGACGTATTCTTGACATAACGAGATTTGTCATCACATATTGTACATTGTGCTGCCTTCCGAAGTGGTCAGAAAACATGAGGTTTTGTTCGACATCCATGCGATTATAAGTCAGTCTAGGAATCACAACGCCTTGTACTTCCTACTTTCACCTCCTTTGTCTTTCCCAACATTACGTCTACACCGACGTAAAAATAAAGATAAAAAATAATAAAACCATACCAAAAAAGGAGTTCGTGTCATAGCTGGTTGCAGTTGGAAATCTTCCAAATGGCTACGGCTTTCTGCCAAAAACTGCCGCCATCAACTTTTGCCCAGCTCAAAGCCTATTACGTGTACAGAGAGGATCTTCCCAAATCCAGACATCAGGGCACACACATTACAAAGAACAGTCTGGATCTGTTGTTCAACATCGTCGTCCACCAAACATGGGATGGAATTTCCAAAGAGGGGCATCTGATGATACCTTGGGATCTACAACTGTAGAGACTGCTCCAATCAAAGGCTCGGATGCGTTTTTGTTTGCCGGGATCTCGACCAGATGTGTTGCTATAGTCATAGAACCACTATCCTGGCTAGCACCAAACACAGGATGAAGGTTTAAAGCTGGTGCCTGGAGAACCAGCACCTGA